CTCAGTCTCAGGAGTTAGAGATGGTCTAGATAAGTGTTCCTGAGAGCCCTGGTCTCAAGGCACAGGGAAAGATAATCAAGTTCTAACAAAATGGCGGCAGGTCTGAATGGTGGCCAGACAAAGCAAAATGGCTGTCACAAATCACAGCACAGAATAGAGTTAAAACACACACATATAAACCTGGCAGTCCTCATCAGACACTCCGTTAAATACAAGAATGCAGTCTCTCAGAAAACCTTCTATACAGACACAGAACTTCAGATGTCTTCAAAGATTTCAAAAGGAGGAAAGGAAGCCAGGTTGAAAGAAGGAGGAGGAGGTGGGAAAGGGGGGCAAAGGGGTGGCCTTACAGACATCTCCTGCCACCTGAAGATACCCAGGCGCTACAAGACTTTTCCCTGGGCTTCCAGAAAAGGGAGGACTGGAACTTGGCCCCACCAGAAACCAAACCAGAAAATTCGAGTTCTCTGCCAAGAGGAGGTGATCAGTCTCCAATCCTCAGCTCAAGCTGAGGCCCTTCAACCAAGTTCCTGCGTCCAGGACTGGGGGACTAGAAAAACGGGAAGGATAGGAAGGGCTAAGGAGAGGAAAGAGAGAGGGAAGGGGAGAGGTCAATAAAGTCTCTTGTTCCTTACCCGGTCGGGGCACTCTGGCCAGTTGTCCGCGTCAGGAGGAGACCAGGGACAAAAGGGTCCCAGTTGCGGCCGCTGGGTCTGGTCCATTGGCAGGCAAGCTGGCCTCTGAGTACCCCGAGTGGTCAGGATGTCAGTCTCAGCGAAGATGTCCCACCAGAGTCGCCATTTGTGGCAGGAAGGGGGACCCCTTCCAGGGCCTGAAACTGGGCTCTTGTCTAACACTCGGAAATGAATTGTCCGAGGAGACACATGTGCTGACAAAGCAAGAGATTCTATTGGGAAAGGGCACCGGGTGGAGAGCAGTAGGTAAGGAAACCCAGGAGAACTGCTCTGCCATGTGGCTCGCAGTCTTGGGTTTTATGGTGATGGGATTAGTTTCCGGGAGGCTTTGGCCAATCATTCTAATTCAGGGTCTTTCCTGGTGGCGCACGCATCGCTCAGCCAAGATGGATGCTAGTGAGAGGGATTCTGGGAAGTGGACGGACAGGCAGGGTCTCTTCTCGATCTTTCCTGAACTCTTCCGGCTGGTGGTGGCTTATTAGTTCTGTATTCCTGATCAGGATCTCCTGTCATAAAACAACTCATGCAAATGGTTACTATGGTGCCTGGCCAGGGTGGGCGGTGTCAGTGTGCTTCCCCTGACATTCCCAGTTTATGAAATGTGTTCTCTTCACATTTGGGACACAGCAGTATATTTTAAGAACATATCCATCTGAGGTTGGATGGCATCACTGACTCGATGGACATGAGTTTGAGCGAGCTCCAGGAGTTGGTGATGGACAGAGAGGCCTGGTGTGCTGCAGTCCATGGGGTCACAAAGAGTCGGACATGACTGAGTGACTAAACTGAACTGAACCTGAGATCTATGCATCTGACTCTCTGGCCGCTAGGACAGGCAACCCCAAGTTTTCATAGAAATGAAGTACAGCTCAAACCCCACAAAAGGCCCTAACCTTTCCAGTTGAACTTTCATTGTGAAAATCCACTCTATCTTCAAGGAAGCGCTAGTTCCTAAATTATTTATTACTGCTCACTTTGCAAAATTTGTTAAAGACAATCACCATAAACCACCAGTAACAATTTCATAATTATGAATTTTATTCCTAAATAGAAGATGAAAAAATTGAACCCAGCAGTTTATTCAAAGAATAATGACTATATGACTAAGCAAAGTTTATTTCAAGAAGGTAAGGATGGGTTGAACGTTAGAAAATCTGTTGATTCTTGTGTTACGACTTCCCTGGTGACTCAGAGAGCAAAAAAATTTGTGCCTGCAATGCAGGAGATCCAGATTCGATCCCTGGGTTGGGAAGAGCCCCTGGAGAAGAAAATGGCAACCCTCTCCAGTATTCTTGCTGGGAAAAGTCCCAGGACGGAGGAGCCTGGGGGCTACAGCCCATGGGGTCGCAAAGAGTCAGACGGGACTGAGTGACTAAGCACATTTATACTTGTGTTGAAAAAAAAATTGAAAACTGTGGGAATTGTGAGTTAAGTTTTGTTTGGGGAAAAATGAGGACTACATCCTTTCAGATGGTTCTGAGAAACTGCCCCGAGAAGGCAAGAGGAGGAGTCAGAATATATAGGAGTTTTGCAACAAAGGTCTGGTAGTCATCTGGGAACACTAAAAGATTACTGTTAATGAAAGAAACCAGATATGTCAAGTTAAGGAATTTAGCACTTTTCTTTGTATGGGAAGATGCAAGAGTCTAGATGCACTGAAATCATTCCTTTGATCTGCATCTCAGCTTTCTGGGGCCAGTCTCCTGTATTTTCACATCCTGAGTTCCCTCAGGGCTCATCAGCCCTCCATCCAGGGTGACTGCAATTATTGGTGGCTTTGACATCCTTTGTTAACTGATACGGCAGGACATATTCCATTTCTCACTAGTGTAGTTCATTATATTCATGAGTCAGAATAGAAAAGGAGCACAGTGATAACACAGTTGATAAATTTAATATCTTTCCCAATTAAACGCTTATAGTAAATAAGTAAATAAGAAGGATGATGTGTATGTGCTCAGTCGTGTCCGACTCTTTATGACTCTCTGGACTATAGCTGGTCCTCCTCTCTGTCCATGGGATTTTTCAAGCAAGACTACTGGAATGGGTTGCCATTTTCTCCTCCAGGGGATCTTTCCCACCCGGGAATCAAACCCACGTCTTTTGTGTCTTCTGCATTAGCAGGGAGATTCTTTACCCCTAAGCCATCGGGGAAGTCTTTAAAGATGATAGTGTTCTAACACCAACTAGGGGCAAATGCTTGTCATCCTGAGTTAAAGACTAATGCCCATTTTCTTGTCCTGTATTGATATTTTGGACAATGCAAGAGCAAGAGTGAAAACTGCATTATTTGTAGGTGATATGATTGTTAAAATAGAAATTTTAGAGACATCAGTTAAGTTATTATAAAACTATAAGACATTTTCAGTGGGGTAGTATACAAGATAAATACATACAGCACTCCATAGCTTGTATGTACGTTACATACACTTACATTTGAAATATCCATTGTGATTAATATTTAAGTCGTTTTCAAGTTTTTACTATTACAAAAAATATAGCAATAAACATTCTTGTACAGACCATTTCTGTACATTTATTAATTTACCTCCTTGAAATCAGCTCCTAGAAATGGAATTGTTCAATAAAAGATTATGGAAATTTCACATTGCCAAACTATGGGGCAGGGACCTTTACTTAAACTTTTTTTTTTCCACTTTATTTTTTGTCAAATGGCTAACCAATTGCCCCAGTATTACTTACTAAATAATCCATTGCTTCCCACCACTTTATAATAGATTTACTATATGTATTGGATTGAAGGATATCTGTATCATAGTAAGTGAAAAAAGTCAGACTCTAAATCTGTAGGTGTCCTTTGACGAACAAAAAATTGTAATCGGTGGAGGTGTATAAAAGTTCAGAAGTATTTTTTTTTAATGTGGACAATTTTTGAAGTTTTTGCTGAATTGTTACAATAGTGCTTCTGCTGTTTACATTTTGGTTTTCTGGAGGAGTGGCTTGTAGGATCTTAGCTCCCTGACAAGGGCTGGAACCAGCACCCCAAGCATTGGAAGGTGAAGCCTTAACCACTTGACTGCCAAGTCCTTCAGAAAGATCTGAAATTGTTTCCTTTTTGTTTCCTATGGGCAGATAGTACTTCTTTGCCTAGAAAATTCTTCCCCTCTTGCAGCTCATTTTACCTAGGTAACTTCAATAGAAGGGCATCCTTGAAATCTTAGCTCAAATTTCTTGGTGGGTGTGGGGTAGGGGAGCTTGCCATAGGGGGTAGGCAGACACCCTGTCCTAGGTAAGCATCCTTTCAAAGAATCCTGTAATTGCAATACTACCTACAAACCATCCTGCACCTTCTTACTTATCTAAATTACACCTTATTGTTTCTCTGGACCCCAAGCTCCACGAGGGCTGAATACAGGTCAGTCTTATTCATTCTGGAGCCTAGCACAGTGTCTGGCAAATAACCGTCACTAATTGAACACTTACTGTTTGCCAAATACCGTGCTAGGTGCCTTTAACGACCTCACTACACTCTTCGATACTGTATCACCTCAGTTCTGAGCGTGAAGAAACCGAGTCTGAGCGTGAAATCATGTCCTGTGGGCTATTAATTCCCAGGCCTGTCTACCTCTTGGTCACTACGCGGTGATCAATAAATAGAGGAAGAACTGCCAGTGAGGCTTGAGGGTCTCTCAGAGAGCACATTACATAGTAACCGCAGTCCTGGAGGGTGCTTGGACTGCTGCTGCTGCTGCTAAGTCGCTTCAGTCGTGTCTCACTCTGTGCGACCCCAAAGACGGCAGCCCACCAGGCTCCCCTGTCCCTGGGATTCTCCAGGCAAGAACACTGGAGTGGGTTGCCATTGCCTTCTCCAATGCATGAAAATGGAAAGTGAAAGGGAAGTCGCTCAGTCGTGTCCGACTCTTAGCGACCCCATGGACTGCAGCATACTAGTCTCCTCCATCCATTGAATCTGCCAGGCAAGTGTACTGAAGCGGGTTGCCATTGCCTTCACGGGGCTTCGACAGAGAACCCTTTAAAATCCCCAGGACCACTCAGACCCTCGCAGGCCCCGCCCACCCCGCGTCGAGGCCGGAAGGGAGCGTCAGGGGCGGGGCGGGCTTCCGGGGCCGGGGCGGGGCGGGGCCGGCGTTGGTTGGCCGGCTGCAGCCGGAAGTCGGAAGGTTTGGGGTCCGAAGACGCCGGCTTGTGACGGGGAGAAGGAGGCCTACGAGAGGGTTGCCTCTCCGTCCCTTGGCTCCCGGGGACCCTCGGGAAAAACCCAGAGCCCCGACCCTGCGGCCGGCCCCTTCCCCTAGGCTCTCTCCGCTCGATTTCGCCACCGCTATGTGGGAAGCGAATCCGGTGAGTAGCCGGGTGGGATGGGGCGGACCGATGGGCGGGGTTGATGGGAGAGGGCGGGCGGAGTTCCTGGGAACTGCGCCCCACCCCCCTCCCCGCACCCCTCCTGGCCCTGCCGGCAGGCTGTTGAGTTCCGGGAACACTGAGGCCCCGACTTCGGCGGCTCCAGCAGCGCCTTGCGAACAGTGGAGAAGGCTTGGTGGGTCCCCAGCGCCGGACAGGCTGGCTGTCCTGTCCCATTGATTGATTTGGACTCACTGTGGTTTCTCTGCCCCCCGTCTTTCCACACCGTCGTTTTAAACTGTGTTTTGCTGTCTGGCTGGCGTTTCCTGGGCATCGAACTTGTGAGTCTTCGTTAGGCTCAGGTATACTTGCTAGCCCCCCACCTCACCCCTATCTAAAGCGAAGGGGATTTCCCCCCGGGCTCTCCCCTGAATGGGCCTAAGGGGAACTGCCTGGGCTCCTTTCCCTTTTTTGATGGACAGCCTGCGAAAACTGGGGTGGGAGGAGTGGAGGGGCGAGCGTGTGTTATTAGATTTTTTTTTCCTCCCCCGGGTGGACAGAAGTGATGATCTGGAGCGTTTTCGCTGCAAGTAGTTCTCCCTCCGGTATTTGCATTGTGTCTACATATATTTTTGTTTATTTTGCTTTTGTACCTTCAAAGAGAGGAGTCCGTTTCCCAGGAGTATTCCTGTTAGTCTCTTGTTAGAGGCGTAGTCGCCTGGCAACACAAATAGACGCTGTTTACACCTTTGAGTTAACTGGAAAATGGCAGAATCATGTATCAGCGAATTTTTGGCCAAAATATGTGCAGTTACCCCGTCTGCTGAGAGAAATTCCTGAATCTACTTTAATAACCCCGTTTCCATATTTGAAGTAACTCCTTTTCTGTCATCAGTACTTCATCTTCCCCATGCCTGGAATATATTTTCAGGTAAATTAGGGAGTTATCAGTAAATTCCCATCTTGTTTTTCCCCAGTGGAAACTAGTCTGTTGCTCTGGATTTTTTCGCTGCATGTTGTGGTTCCATCCCAGACCTTCGTGTAATGATGGTCATCATTTAAGACCTTTTTTTTTTTTTTTTGGCTCAAACATAGAATCCTCTAATATAAGGCCACATCAGAGTAAAGTAATTGCCGGGTTTTGATTTTAGCAAAAATAATTGCAGATTGTGAGAATGTATTCTGCTTATATATTCACTTTCGCTGTCATCAGTCAGTTTCATATATTATTATTATATGTGTGTTTGTGTGTATATTCATTTTTTATTGGCTGTCCTCTTCCTGGTTTCTCCATAACACATCTTTACTCATCTAAGTACATGTCTTGCTCAAAGTTACATGTCTTAAATCCTTCAGCATGTTGTAAGCTCCAGAGGGGCAGAGATTTTTCTCTGTTTTGTGTCCTGTGGCATCCACAGACTAGGGAAGAGAGCCTGGCATATAGTAGGTGCTCAGTAAATGCCCGTTGACTTCACAAAGACCATTGTATGACACTGGGAAGACTCCTTTGCTCCATTTTTTTTCTCCTTCATCACATATGTATCAGAATTCACTGTTAGGTCACTGGTGTGTTTGTGAGGATTATAGAGGCACTAGTGGATATCTCCTCTATTTAGTTTGTTATGACATTATCTCACTTCTTTGGAAGGAATACTTGGTTTTCTCTGAAATCACTCTAGCGATTTTGCTTGATTTCAGTAGAGCAGCCTGACTTTTGTTAATCGTGATGAACTTTCCACCTAGAAACCCACATTCTTCTGACCCTTGTCATGCCACTCTAATATGTCTTAATACTCCTGTGTTTTCTTACTGATCCTGTTTTTATTCCTCTGAGCATGTGAATACTGTCAATAAGGACAGTTTGTGAAGTGAAAGTCGCTCAGTCATGTCCAACTCTTTGCGACCCCATGGACTATATAGTCCATGGAATTCTCCAAGCCAGAATACTGGAGTGGGTAGCTTTTCCCTTCTCCAGGGGATCTTCCCAAGCCAGGGATCAAATCCAGGTCTGTTTTGTATAAATACAGTCATCATCCTGCATTTGGGTTTCCTCTGGTAATGTGTTTGTTTCTTATAATAGATGAAGCATCTGGATAGTCTCTCCAGCTGTGCTCCTGGAATAAAAATTAATTTTAATGTTTCTCTAAACCAAATTTGGAAGATGGAAAAAAAAAATGCATCCTAAAGATAAATACAGATGACTCTTGTATTACCCGCCAGTGTAAATTACTGTTTACCATTTCTTTCCATTGAACAGTATAATAAATTCCACTTTGTGGAGGAAGGCATAGTGAACTGCTTTAATTGAAGATGTCTGCTAGTTTCTCCCTGTATTGTTTTGGTAGTATCCATGACGCTGATATGCCACCTGTAATCTGCAAATCTCCTCTGGCAGATACACCTCCTGTATGATACTGTATTCTACTCACAAGTGTTTTGGGGAGATACTGCACTGACTCTGGCTGTGGTAATACTAGAAGCAGCCACCCCCTTCCACCTGGAAAGTCCCCCAGACATGTTTGGAGTGTGGAAAATCACCACGAGCTTGCAGCATTTTCTTGGGTGGGGGGAAACCCCATACAAGAAAACCAAGGAGCTATAAATAAACTTCATGTCAGCACACAGTTTTATTTTCCTTTTTCAAGACAGTCATGAGGTTGGTGGTGATTCTGTGTAGTCTTTTACCAGCCAGGCACTGACCGAGGCAGATCCGGTTGACAGGCGGCAGGCTCTCAGTTCCAGTGGGGGTTCCTGGCAGTTCTCCACCCACTGGGGGAGGCAGCCCTTGGCCAGTGTCCCCCAGTTTAGGAAAACGACAAGATCTGTAGAAAGGACTTGGAAGGGGCGCCATCCCTGCCTTGACTGCATACCCTGAGCTTGCCCTGCCTTTTGCTCTCTCTGCCATTGTCTTACCCCTCTTTGCTGAAAATAGATAAAGTGTCAGCGTTACATGGGAAGGAGTTCCAGCTTCTCTCTGATGACAGAAAGTGAAAAGTGACAAGCGTCTCTTAAGATAACAAATCATCTTGGAGTAATAGGCTTTACTTCATAAAGAGTGATATACTCTTGCAAAATTCCTTTTCCCTGTTAGCTCAGATGGTGAGAACAGTCTAGTGACATAGCAAAGGGAGGAGGAAATGACTTTCCCAAGATCAGGTAGGTGGGGAAGCCACAGAACTGTTAGCACCCTTGTCCTCACTACCTCCGTCCTGCCGCTTGGCGGGAGCCGTGATAACGTTTGTAAGTCAGTGCAGCGCTCCACCTGTCAAGCCTCCTTTTCCTCTGTTGTTTTATCATCAGAACTGAGCTGCTTCCAGACTTCTCTCCTTTCTCTGTCCAGCGTCTTGAGAGAATAGTCTTACACTTTTTGTCATTCTTACTCAAACTTCAGCTCCCCCAGCCCCACCTCTGTCCCAGCACCTGACTTGCTGGGAGGTCACCGAGAATTTTGGCATTGTCCTGGCATTCTTTATAATTGTTCAGGCAGTGAGGTTAGCTGAGCTTAAAGAGGCATGTGATGTTGTGTGGTGTTTGGTGGCTGGGGGCAACACTGAATAGTTTATGGGTCCTCCGATACCTCTGTGAGGTGGGGACTTGTAAATTACTGTCCTCTTGTTTAATGATGAGACAAAGGCTCAACCTTGGATGCACTTTCTGAATAAGGGCAGCCCAGTTTTCAACACAGAACTTTCTGGCCCCAGAATAAGTGCTCTTCCCGTTCCAACTTAGGATGTAGGATTTAGAGTGAGTAAGAAAGACCCTCTGGGGAGAGAGCTGCAGGGAATCAGAGCTAAAGGAAGGGCTCCTGAGCTGCAGAAAATGTTTGTGATGACAGTTCTGGGGATTCAGGACTTCTTTAGTGATGCCACCCACAAGCAGGAGGAGAGAGACAATGCGGCCTTCCTGGGACTGGCATGGTGGGCACCGCACAGGACTTAGGGGTGAGTCTGATAGTTTTGGTGTCAGGGCAGAGCACAGAGTCGGGGACAAAGCTGGAGGTTCATGTTCGTGGTTGAGGCCTGAAGGGATGGTGTGGGGCGGTTCACTGAGGGAGCCCCACCTGGCCTGGTGCTCATGCAGGGTGCTGAGGCCTTTGGCATGTGCAACTTCCCCTTCCAGAGTTAGACTTGCTTTGGAAATAAGGTCTGAGGGCGCTCACTCATTTATTTAGCACTTACTATAAGCCAGTCAGTTCTCAGGCCCAGAGTTCACGGTGGTGAGCAACCCAACAGGTTCAGTCCTTGTGGGTTTGCGGTCTGTGCAGTGAGGCAGACATTACATCGATAACTGCACCGTAGCATTCAACTCCAACCATAGTAGAAGCTCTGAAAGAAAAAGCACAGTGGAATGTGTAACAGGAGGAGCTAGTGCTGGACTCGGAGAGTCAGTCAGGCCGCCCAGTGAGAGCTCCTTCTGCAGAGATCTGAGGGACTGAGCAAGGGTTAGCCAGGTACAGCCAGCATGGGAGGGGAGGAGGGCTGTTCAGACAGTGGAAATGCCCCGAGGCAGGAAGGAGCTTGAGAGAGAAACCCTCTGTGGCTGGAATGCTGGGAACCAGGAGTCGGGGCCTGTAGGTAGTCAGGAACAGGCCACGTGTGGATTTGTGGCACCTGTTCAAGATTTGACCTTTACCCTTGGAGGTGGGGTTTTACAAAGATCATTCTGGCTGCTGTGGGGAAAATGAGTTCTGTGTTAGAGAGTGTGCGAGGCAGAGTGATGGGCTGCCAAAAATTTCCACATCCTGGTCACCAGAAAGTGTGGTTCTTTCAGGTCACAGAGCAAAGGGGAGTTAAGATTACCGGTCAGCTGACTAATAATGGGAAGTGTATCTTGAATTGTCCAGGTGTACCCAGTGTCGTCGTCACTGGGGTCCTTAAAAGCAGAAGACGGAGATAGTGAGTCAGAGGGAGCGTGAGGCTGGAGGAAGAATCACAGATGTGCATCGTCGCTGACTGGAGATGGACTAAGGGAGCCATAAAGCAAGCAGTGCAAGTGGCTTT